AGAAAAGAAAAAAATATCCTGCACTTCTCTTTTACTTCAACATCTGTAACTGTTGTTTCTAAGTTCATCTTCTTAACCAACTATTTCCTATTCTGTAATTGGATAGTAGCCAACCATCACTAACTATCAAAATGTAGCAAAAGATGTACTCATTTTTAAACTTCCAATTTCTTAAAAATTTAATGTCTTTAAAAATTACTCTAGAGATGTGTACAGAAAGTTATTGGTTTATGCGAGCATACATCATACACATGGACTGGCTGAACATTTGGAAATGGGTAGTAGTTTTACTGCACTGCTGGAGAACCAGAGACCTAATCCACAGAATGTGTTGCCTAGAGCCCCAAATCTGTCACAAAGATTGATTGTATGGAAGCTTCTCAAGACAATTCAACACAATATGCTGGGAGATAGGACACTTTTCACAAAATTCACTGGAAGGCTCAGTTTTGAATAAATAATGTAAAAGCTCTTCATTACTGGCATGCCAACCTTGGCCAGCACATAGCTTCATCTAGCATAGCACTGGGTCCATCCTGAACCCACCTGGATGCCTTTGTAGAATGGTGCTCCTGGAAATATTCATTTCATAGCATAAATATACATATTATGTAATTTTTTGATATACGTTCCAAGTGAAACTTATTGGGAGGTTGTTTCATAATATTTAGACAACTAAAGATTAAATGTGGTGGCTGCATGGAAGAGCTGAACTGTCCCTTCCTAAGGTCTCCATGTTGAAGTCCTGGCCAGGATACCTCACAACAGGACCTCATTAGGAGAAAGGGTCCTTAAAAGGGCGATTAAAAATAAATGTGGTCATTGAGTTTGGGAGTAATCTGATACAACTGATATCCTCACAAGAAGGAAGGTGGATTTGCACACATAGCGAGTGAAGGTGGTCATTAAAAGCCAGGGGGAGACTAGCCCTGTTGACACTTTGATCTTGGACTTTTCTAACTTTCATAATGAAGGAAAAATAAATTTTTCTTATTTTAGTCACTCAGTAGTGCTTTATTATATAATACACTGTCTGTGACAAGAAATCTCACTGATTTCTTTGTGTGTGTTTAGTTATAGTTCCCAAAGCTTGCTAGGTAGCTGGGAGATGTCATAATTAGAGTGAAACCATTAGTAAATAAAACTACACTCAGATTTTAAAGCAGTTTTAAATTGTTATAAACTAACTACTACATGTCCAAGAGAGGTGACACAGCCAACAATTATAATAAATGTGCTTCAAATTTTTAAAACTGCTTTTCTATTTCAATGTAAATAAACAGAGGAATAATTGCCATTTATTGTTCCTCAATGTAGGCATCAGTTTATGTTAAAGCTAAATTCTGATAGTTGAACAGGACTGGGCTACCAAGATTAAATGGGCGGGCTGGGGAGATGGCTCAGTGGAATAAGCCCTTCCCTGGCAAGTGCAAGGGCCTGAATTCAATTCCCGGTTCCACCAAAAAAATAAAAAAATAAATAAAAGATTAAATGGGCAGAACTCCAGTAGAAAGTTTTTGCAAAGAAAAAGCCACCTTTGTAAAAGGATCACTGACATTAAAAAAATCATACTTTGGGATACTACATCATGAATTACTTTAAATTATTGCTTTCTTTATAGAAATTTGTGTTATCTTAGCATAAGTGATTGGGGAAATAATGTGTCATTAAGACATAGAATGGTGTAAGGTACAATAATTCAATTTAAATTAAAAACTTGCTGTTGGTGCCTGCTGGCTTGCCATTTTCTTGGCATCCTTTCACAGTGTTTGAGTGAAACAGATAAAATGTGTGTTATGAATGTATCCTTGTGAAACTCTCATGTTGGAATAGTAATACTCAATATATTAGCAAATAAGGTCTTTAAGCGGTAACTAAGGCGCCATAAAGTTAGATGCATGGTCTGCAATCCACAGAAGTCATGTCCTTACAAGAAGACAGGAAACTAGGGATGTGGATGCACAGAAGGAAGAGCTTGTGAAGACCAGAGCAAAAGACATCCACCTGCAAGGCAAGAAGAGAGTCCACAGGAGGGGTCCCCCTGCCTCCACCCCCACGGGAGAGTCAGCTGGTGTTGTTGAAGCCACCCAGCCTGTGGTGCATAGCTGTGGCACCGTTAGTGAGCCAGGGCAGTGCAGGTCTTACGTGTCTGGTGAGAACATAGTAACTCGCAAGAGAGAATTTGTTATACTTTCTAAAAAGAAGCAGCTTTCAACACTACATTTTGGTTTCCTATTTATAGAAAGTCAACGGTTTGTGTTTATGCTGGAGAATGTGGGTTAAGGTCTGTTTCATACATGCACTACCCAAATTTATGCAAAGTTACTCATTTATATTCATGCTATCATTTTTCTTTCTCAATCATCAAATGTATTTGAGGAAAGACAAAATCAGCAGGTAGTTTAGAAGCCAAATGTTCAAAAGAATAATTTTTGTGATATCACAAAAATATTCAGTAAATATGATTTTTAAAAGCCTAAAAAGCTTGACTAACAGATTTTTCTATTAATCTATTTCATGTAGTAGTCAATAAAATTGCAGTTTGCCTAACCTATCTAACTGCCCTCCCAAATATTGCCCTATTTCTGAGTATGGACTATCTTTCTGGCAGAAAATGAATATGTTTCATTATGTATTTGTAGAGACAATCTGTGATAGTTTAATATATATAAGTAATAATTAAAGAAGTATAATAACCTGATCTTTAAAGTATAGAGCCAAAAAAGATTGAAAGTTTATATCTCCTATTAATACTTTGGTTTTGGTTTTATATAGACCCAAAAATGATTGAGATATTTATGGCTCCTATTAATACTTTGGTTTTGGTTGCATATGTTTGGTTTTACATTTTCCAAGATTATTTGGGGTGTATATGTGTGGGGAGGATGCTTGCTTAGAACAAATAGCTTTTAAAATGGTTGGAAACAAAATAGACAATATGTAATTGGATTGATAATATGTAATATGAAAAAAGTCACAGAGATATATTGTTTTGCTTACCAGGTGATATAACTTTATTTCAGCAGAAATTTTGGAGAAGGTGTACTAATCATATAGAATAGCAGTAGTACAGAGTGTCTCACCCGTGGTGTGATGGAAAAGCAGGGTGATGCATGTCGGTGCTGTTTGGGAGGGAAGCGCAGCCATGTGTTTCTTTACTCAGTTACAGTCAGACAAAAGTAGATTAAAATGAGTTACAAAAGTTATGAAGCAAATATCACTTGGTGAAGCACATGTGATTTTTAAATGTGATGCTTACAAGTTCCATAAAAGGTAGTCAGAGTCCCCAAAGTCTTATTACAGAACTTCAGTATCTCTCAGGGGCTGAGCAGGGGCTGCAAAGCCCGGAGATGTTCCTCTCCGAGTCGCTGGAGCACCTGCGCCTTTCTGCTCTCTGCGGGCAGTTGTGAGGATGGCCCTGTGTGCTGGACAGTGAAGGCGAGGCTGCACACTCAGCTCTGAGTGTCAACGCTTGTGCTTCCCTCCATGCGGGCTGCTGTCATCTCACTCCAACAGACTCTCTGATGTCCCTTCCAGATGTGCTTAGAGACAAAGATGGCATATTTTAAGGTTGATATACAGTGTCTGAGAAATCACACTCAAAGTGACCTCAGTTTTCTCGGGAGGGCAGTGATTTTCATCATGTTCGAAAAGAAAAAAGAGGAGATGGCTCTATTGCAAAAAGGAAGGTGAGGGTGAGAGGGCAGGTGGGCGTGGAGGGAGGGGTGTGGAAGAGGATGCAGAAGGAAGGAAGACGTGCCTTGTACCTGTACCACTCTCCACAGTGAATGAGACTGCTATGTGTCCTAAACATGGACTAGTAAAAATAAGTTAAAAAAATAAAATACACTGGATAGTATTCATTAACAATAGAAAAGTGTAAATTTCTGCTATTTGGATGGATTTCTTCAGTGTTTAAGAGAGTTGCATCAGAAGACTACGGAGCTTCCCCCAGGGAGGAAGCCCCCAGGCGTGGGTTTGGGCAGACTGCACAGCACTGCCAGCAGTTGCTCTGCCAGTCTGCTTCTCCAGATCTGCAGCTAGTCATGCCTTGGATACATTTTTTTTTCCCCCAAATTCACATATACTCTGAAATTCTGGGTGTGCGTCCCAGTGTCTTAATTTGGTGTTTGCTTGCAGCGTAGCTTGCAGTGTTTGACAGAGGTAATGGATTAGGAAATTCTAAAATAGATGTCTTGGGCCTGAAATTATTAAGACATGAGACTGCTACATGATTGTTATTATTGTTCTTGTTCAAATTCTCTTTATGATCTTCTGGCACTGCCTCATCACCAGTGTTAGGAACCTGTAACACTTCTGCACCACCAGGTTCATTAGTTTTTTCATTTTTCTCCCTTTCAGTACTTTGCACAAGCCCAGTATTACTGTCATTAACATCCACTCCACTTAATTTTTTATTCTTTGTGTCTTCTGCTTCATTCAGCTTATCTTGCACATTCATATTTCCCACCTTCTTCTCATCTCTTCTGGCTTCATATAGTCTCATTTCTTTGCCTCTTGCAGCATCTTCTTTCTGATACTTTGGTGTGGATAGCAGATATGGTTGTAGGAAAGAAAGGTTTTCTGGTTCTTTATTTTCCAGAGGTTTAAAATGTTCTACCAGTGATTCAGTTTTAAATTCAGAAAAGTGCGGAGTTGTCATTTCAGGTGGCCATTTAGGCTTACTCATTTTGAGCTCATCTTCAAAGGGAAAGTTTTTCTTAGGCATTTCTCTGGCTGGAGGCCAAACAATTTTTAATTTTCTTCTTTCCCCCAACTTCCTCAGGTCATCCCTTTGCCACTCACTGTCACCAGCATCTAAATGTTTTATAAGATCTTCAGGAAGAACAATGTTTGTCGTAGTGTGTTCACATGTACATGGTTCTTCATTGAGAATAAAGTCCACTGAACTGCTTTGATTTTCATAATTACATTTATCTTTATTCTGTTTGTGTCCAAAGCCTTGGTCATAATTCCCTCTTGACTTAAAAAGTTGTTTAAAGTGAGGTTTACAGTATATTTGTCCATGAAGTGATACATAATTCCCCAAACTGCCAGAAAAAGAAAAAAGAAACACTTAGCATTTTGTATATTTATTGTAAATTCATAGATAATTAAGAAATTATCTACTTTAGTAAAGATTCAGACTCATACACTTAACTTACTAGTAATTGGAATGACCCCATGAAAGGAACCATTGTGTTAGGTAATAGTTATCACTAATACTTCTCATATATCTATTGAACTCTTTATAATTTTATGATACATGTCAGTTACTGATATATTGGTACATTTTATAATGCAAATGCAGTTATAGAATGGTAAGACTAAACCTGTGCTAGTGATGATTTATGTGAAAGGTTTTACTTTTCAATAAATCTTGAATAGCCCATACACATGAATCAAATATGTGAATTTTCTTCTTCACTGGAGCTTGAATTAATTAGAAAGTTTGTTTATGCTCTTGCTTATCAATCCAAAGGAGGTCAACAAACAGAATGCCTGATGAAATTAAATCACCTTTGTTAGAGGCAACAGTGTAATTTTGAGGATTTCTGAATATACAGATAAGAACCAGTACATCACATAGACAGCTGAACCTATGGGCAACACTTACAACAAAACTAGGTGACAAGGTAGCCTAAAGGGCTAGCTAAAGACATCCACCAGTAGATGGGAGACCACCATGACAATCTTGTAGGGGGAGCAAGAAAGAAGGGTCTGCAAAGAGGAGCACAGCACAGATCAATATTTCTTGGAAGTATCAGAACAAATCAGAGACTAGCTCCCAAAACTGGACAGGGGTTTTAGTCATCTTTCCAGTGGCCAGGGTTTACAAATGTCCCATGTTACAAACAACCAAACAGACCTGTATGCAGAGCTCTCAAAACCGAACCACTAAGGATCATCTGAGAAGGAAATTGAGTGGGATCAAAACAGAGCCGGTTAATGACAACAGGTATGAAAGAGAAGATCTAGATAAAGACAAGAGTAGAAAAAAAGGCTGTGAAATCCCAGCCATCTACCACTCCCTTATCTTGAACAGTATTTCAAAAGTAATAGGAGCAAGTCTGTGAAATCAGAAAAAACATTATGGATGTCATCTCCTTTGAAGATTGGGAAAACTAATTTCTTATAAAAATGAGTGGCAGATCTATTGAGGTAAAATCTTTTATTTTAATGATATAATAAACTGTATTTTTTGAAAGCATAATGTACATTATCCTTGCAGTTAATGAAAACATGCCACAAACTGTGCTCTAAAACAGATTTAAAAAATTAAGCTTGGGCTAGGGAGATAGCTCAGCTGCATAAGTGATTGCCTGGCAGGCACAAGGTCTTGAGATCAGTCTCCAGTACACACACACACACACACACACACACACACACACACACACACATTAACCTTGGACTCCAAAATGAACTTAAAGTCATTAAGAAAATGTTATGGCTTGTATCCATCTGTACCCCCAAAAGTTTCATGTGCTCATGAACTTTTGGGAGGTGGCTGCATCTAAAGTGGGATATTGAGGTTAAGAATGTATGCTATTGATTAAATTGGTTTAGCATAGATTTGGGTGTGGATAATGGAATCTCTGCCCTGGGTGTGGGTGGTACCACCCAAAGGGGTTGTAGCTTGGCTGGGATAAAAAAGAAAGGAAGGCTTGTGATTTGTGGCTTTCTGCCTTCCATGCCATGGACTGGTTTTCCCGAGTGATGTGCCTCTGCCAGGCCAGCCTGCCTTGGAGCCTGCCAACCATGGACTGGAATCTCTCCAAACTATGAGCTGAGATAAATCTTTCTTCTTTTAACTTGTAGGTTCCAGGCACTTTTTCTCAGAAAAAAAGGATCTAAGATAGCCTATGATAAAAATCTGAGAATACAAAATGAAGGAGAATTAGGAAAACACATAAAAAAAATGTCAGAAAGTAGAAAATAGAAATCAGGGCCAAAATGGAAAAGAAAACATTCTTAGCAATAAAAACTAAAAGAAGCACAAAATCAAATAAAATTCATAGGAAATTGAAGAGATAACAGAAGAACATAAAGGTAAACTTTTAAATGTTCCAAAAGAAACAAAGAGATGTAAAGAATTGAAAAGAAAGATATTAAAGATAGATAAAAATACCTTCTACTATTTTTATAGGGATCAGAAAATGTTGACGATAGTCTGGAATATCTATCTAGTCCTGTCCAATAATGAGGAAGTTCTCAAAGATCATGAAGGACCTGTCAAAAGTACTCAAGAAAGAAAGAAACCCACTGATCAGAGAGAGAACAATTTATGCTTCAGTAGTAATTATTGTGATTGATTGAATCCAATCAAACAGCACTTTTTTCTGAAAATATTAGTAACCTTTTGGGAATGATATGGAACAAGTGTGCTATGGATAAATCATCAGTTTATTAATTGGTAAATAAAGGAAAATCATTATTAATTTATTTTGCCTACCCTCCACCAAATGTGTCATTGTGTAAAGAGAGGAGAGGAGCAGAGATGAGGGAAAGTACTTTATAAAGTGTTTGAAGAAGTTTGAAGAAATAATGAAATTAGAATATCACATTTTTGTAGACGTCAATAAGTAAATATATGTATTGTCTTAATGTCCGCTGTGGTCACTGGACACGAGACAATTAGACATTATGTTCATACTGTGCCCTTGCTGACACTATTTATATGTTCCTGGGAAAGCAATAATAAAGCTTGAGGTCTAGCTAACAGTTTGGAAAGCAGAAGACAAAGGAACATAATCTGCAATGAGTGTGCAGTTGTTAATCCAGCCTCAACAATCTGTAAGTCATATGTCATGGTTTTTCCACAGATTAACAGAAATAAAAGAATGGAGGGAAACTATATGGATTTAAAAAGATGTTAAAGACATACCAAGTTTAAAGTCAAGGCTAGGGGCCGGAGAGAGAGCTCAGAGGCATAAGCACCTACCTAGCAAGCATAAGGATCTGAGTTTGATCCCTGGCCCCGCATGCCCTGTGCTCTCATCTGGGGATGCCTGGGCACAACAGATGTGGGTGCCCACCATGGGGCCCCGGAACCAGGCATGGTGGTGCACTCCTGCAGTCCCAACTCGGGAGGTTGAGCCAGGAGGATCTCTGTGAGTTCAAGACCAGCCGCGGGGCTACAAAAGTGAGCACAAGGACAGCCCAAACTGAATAGTGAGACCCTGTCTCAAAAAACATAAATAAAATAAAATAAAGTCAAGGCTAAAGTATACCTCTTAGGAAAACACATTTGGAAAATGAAACTATAAAAATGCAAGGAAGTGACAAAAGGAAACTATTTGCTTGTGGGAGAGAGGAAAGCCATTTATAATTAGGATGGGTTATCATAACAGATGGTTATGGAATGACTATAGTGTTAGATTTCTTGATCTTGGCAGTATTTACAGAGTGTTCGTAATTATTTCTTAAACCATATATTTATTTACTTTGTTTGATTTCTTTATCTGTGACTTTTGGATATATCTATATATCTATATCTTTATCTATAGATCAAAAAGTCCTTGATCAATGTTTTTGGCTCCTTTACTAAACGTTTGCAAGGCAAATATGAGCACAATGAATGTTAGGGACAATTACATCAGCTTGTTTTAAGAATCGGGCAAGAACAGAGGATGTAGTAGGAGTGTATGGTAAGGATGTTTTACCCATTCCTGGGGGTCAAATGAAGCTTCCTGGGTAACATAGTCTTTGTTGAGGTCTGAGGATTGAATGGACATTAGCTAAACAGATTTCTGGAGGAGGATTATGGGAAACTTCCCCAAGCAATAGGATGACATTTTGGACTGGTTACATATGAGAGACAAAAACAGTGGCTTGGGGAACATGAAGTAATTCAGGCTACATGCTGCTTTACCTTGGTCTTAACCATCCAGCAGAAAAGTATAAAAACGAAATATAAGAAGCAAAGCCATGCTGTTATGTTGAGCTGACTCAGGTCAACAATTTCTGACATTAGCACTCAAGCGGAAGACCCAATACTATTATGGGCTACTGGACTTTTTTGTAATATTTTGCTGAGTTAACATACCTATAATATTCAAATAACAGGACTTAACAAAAAAGAGTATACAGATGAATGTCCATTTTGTATCTGTGTATTCAAAGTGGTTAGGATAGATAGATAGTTACATTCTCTTAATGAATAGAATGATTTGTTCTAATGGTGTTTGTAAATAGAATATCATGTTTGCATCTTGTACAGCAATTAACCACTAGGAAGAATGTATGCAATGTGTTAATTATTGAAGCTGTCCTACCAATTTGATTAAAAAAAAAAGAAAAACAACACATAAATAGGATAAAGTGGGGATAGATAAAGGTGTTAGCAATAAGGACCAGATCCTGAATTGCATTTTAACTAATATTTCTGTATTAGATTTGTTTGCAAAGGGGAAGCTATTATAGATTTTAAATAGTGAAGTACCACAGTTTTACATTTTAAGAAGATGACTTCACTACGTTATGGGACAAAGCACTGAGGCAGGCTTCCTGTGGAGGAAAAAAGTGCTGAACATAGGAGACAAAATTTGCAGAAAGGCTGTTCCATGAATCCAGGTAAGAGAAGACAATTGCTTGAAAAATAGCTGTGCTAGGGGGAATAAAGAAAAGACACAACTCAGGAAGCATTTGCAAGGAATAAGTGACAGGGCTTGGTGATGGCTTGGGTGTAGGGAGTGAAGGAGAGGAAGAAGTCAAGCAGTAACTCCATGTATCAGTCACTTAGTTCATGCCATTTACTTACACAGTGGCACATGGCCTGTATAGTCAAAAAGGTAATTTTGGTGTCAAAAAGAAAATGCATCATATTGAGTTGGCTGAACTTATGGAAAATCTAATCAGAGAAATAGTCTCACTCCTGAGATTTGATGCGCAGCAGAGAGATCTGGGTTAGGGGTAGAGATTCCATAATCATTATCACAGGGATGATAAGTGAAGTCGTAGAAATGGATGTGATTCACCAGAAAGAATAGGAGACGAAAAATACCTTCTTACAATAGAATTCTAAAGAACACCTAACACTGCATTGATGGATAGAAAAAGAGTCACCTACACAGGTGCCTGGGATGGAACATCTAGAAGGAAAGTGAAAAACCAATATACCACGTTGTCATGGAAACCAAGGAAAAAGACTGTTGCAACAAGGATGTTTGACATTGTCAGTTAAAGCCAGAAAACTATATTCTGAGAAATGCACATTAGACTCAGCAAAATAAACCCAATTTTACTGTCTCAATCCATAGTCAAACCAAATTCCACATTCGATTAGATGCACTTATTTCAAGAGTTTTAGAAAACAAGTGCGTTGGTAATCATGTCGATAAGTGTGTTACTACTGTCATAGGAGAATAAACAGATTTTTTTCTGACTCGTCGCTGACTATATTCCTAATTTCCTTTGAAGCTTCCGTAGTCTAGCTCAAACACAGGCCAGCTAAAACCTAACACCTGCTTGGGCACATGAAATTTTGATTGGCACATAGCCAGCCCATCCATGTACAGCTAGCTAAGCCTGCTGGGTTCAGGTAGCTATGTTGCTCTAGTACTTCTGTGGAAACAGTACAGACAGCAACAGCGTGGCCTGGGTGATCCTTAATTCTGATATCAGTTCAACTGGATTAAGAAGCATCTGACAGACTAGAGAAGCACAGTTCCAGATGTGCCTGTGTAGGCTGTGGAGGTGTGACCTTCCATGCTATATTTGATTGCTGACCCCTTACACTATGGCACCGAGCCCCTGGCCCCTTCCCGGCTGCAGTGAAGTAGGCTCCACTGCCACACTCTTCTACTGGGAGGCTTTGGCCTTGGAGCTGGTGAACCCCAGACTGAATCTCTCCAGTTACCAGCCTAAGTTCCTTCTCCTTCTTCCCGGTATAGGTGCGGTAATTGTGTCTCAGGAGTGAGAAAGCTGACTTGCAAAAAGGCAAATGTTTACTACTGCGGCCTTTTGTAGAAACAGTTTAATGACTGCCGATGTAATGTAGATTTTGGACTAGAACGTTAACTTAGACATCCTGCTTTGCACGGTGACTCTTGATTTTTCTCATCTGCGTGATTTCTATGTTGGAATCAAAGAACATCCTCTGGATTTGATTAGGAAAGCAAAATTCCAAAAGGAAAAAGGTCATAGCAACTGATCAATACAGAACAGCACAAACATATCCTGCTGTGTGGTGGTGTGACCTGATAGCCGCAGCAGGATCTGGAGCAATCTGAATCTGCCCAGGGTTGCAACGCTGAGCACATGCTGCAGGCCCTTTGAATGTTTCTGCCGCAGACCACAAAACATTTTACCTCAGTTTACTGTTGCAATGGTGGCATCGGAAGCACGATTTATGAAAACTCTGCTTGTCTGTTACTAGGCATTCCATTGGATAAACTGTCTTTTGACATAGTGTGCATGTTTCTTTGTCTTGGAACAGTTGTTTCTAAAAATAAAACATTACAAAAGCTTATATAGTATTGCTTTCAATTGCATTCTTAAAACATTATAAAACCCATCAACAATATTAACTGGCCATGCAGTTAAAGTGGCAAGCTTTCTATTGTCTTTCTATTGCTAGAGCCTATATTATCAATAGGATTAATATTAATAAAGATTATTATCCTAACACCTCTACTATTCACACATTGTACACATTGGCATTATTATATCAAACATACAGAAATAAAAGACATCCACTCATCTTAATATGTTAAATATCAATAGTAAGCTCAGCAATGGGGGGGGACTTCCTGAAAAAAGTTATCATTCACTATAGATAACTGAATATATGTAAAGATTAGACTTAACTTTGTCCAAAGATTTAAAAGGTATTATGAATGGGTTTTTCTAAAGTACAAACACATTTTTAAGCCAAAGATATCAATACAGTGCTTCTTTACAACTTAGGGTTGATTTTATGACACCAAATCTTTTGTGTAGTATAATTAGATTTGAATACTTTGAAATGATCAGAAATATTTTTTCTTAAATGTTTTTAGATTTTAGTATGGAAGTATGGAAATCTGCTTTCCATACTTCTCTTAATACCTACAGTCATTTCCTGGTTTTCTTTTGAGTGAGAGTTAGTTCTTATACATAATGATGATTACACTACTAATCAAGGTTTGTATAGTTGTTTAAATTGATAGAGAAACTCCATTTCCATATTGGTCTTGCTACAACCCTGCCAGGATAATTAAGCTTTCCGATTACAGTTGTAGTCATTTATACAAAAAACCAAACCAAACAAAAACATATTTTAGGGCCACATTATTAATTTTTTTTTTTTTGTTTTGGTGTGGACATATTTCTCTGTTCACCAGAAGTTTCTTTTCATTTGCTGGGTTTTGGGAGCTAGCTAGAAAGAAGCAGCATTTGAAATTAATTAGACAGCTTTGCTTAATTGTGCCAGAAACAAGCACATTAAGAAACCATATTAACCTGATAAGTTAGACACATATGTTGCAAATATGACACAGGCATAATTATTAGTTTCAGCAGTTTTTATTTTTAAGCTTGTTCTTTTTTCAATCTGTCTAAAAGAATTGACCGCACTAATGATGCACATTAATTATGTCAAATCCTTTTATCACAAACTCTCACTAATTATAAAAAAGTAGGGGAGACTTAGTGAAATGAGTTGTTCTCTGATGCTACAAAATATGTACTAAATTCACATGATTAAAATCTCCTTCTTATAAATATAATCAAATTTTAAGATGTGCTGTTCTTTCTGTCCATGAAGAAGGTCAGCGGGAGCTGTCATTTCTTTTTAGAAAGGTGGAAAAGTCAGTTGTAGATAAAATATGGCATTAGAAAAAAATAGAATTCTAACAGTAATAATAAATATATATATATATATATATAAATTCTAATTCTTTATCTAAATTTTTATCACAGGTACAGATGCATAAAAATCCTTGAAGTACATTGAGGAATGTAAGTCATTTCTTGGATTACTACAGGCTGTACCAAATGGAGTGTAGAGCTCTCTTAACAGTGCAGTTAAAATGACATCCATATTCAGCTACAGGGTGTGAACCAATGTCATCTGATATATCTATATGAAGTAATTTTTAACAACTATTAATAATGTGCTCTATTCTCTAATACATGTATAACAAAAATTATTAATATTTTCATAACAATTATATTTATTGTCTTATCCAAGGCTTTATTTACCTTGATAGATATAGGTTTCAATAGTTGACATAAAAGTTTTTATTATCCTCACAAAGTACAAGTGGATCATGCCATATGAGATGCTTTTGTGAAGAGAAAGTAGTAAAAATATCAGGCATACTAAAAAAAGCTAGAGGCACGCAGGGGTAGCTGTTAGGTTTAGGCTATATGATTTGGTTATTTCCACTGCAAATCATGTTGAGTTTGGGGCATGCTTTTAAATGAGTTAATCTTCCTTCACAGTTTTCAAGCTCATTTACCATTCATAAATGCAGATTCCTCCTGGAAGGTGCTTCCCATCTCAGTGGCAGAAGCGTCTGAGGCTGCATATCCTAGGCTTTCAAAAACTCTTTCGCTCTCTTGCCACGCCTTTTGAAAATTCTTCCGAAGCTCTTTAGGTGAATCAGAGATGTCTAAAATATGGCCAGCAATGACGTCTTCATAGGTTGGCGGGGCATGCCTGAAGTCAAAGCCAGATTTGCCAGCCTCTGAGCTGTGTGATGATGAGGATGCTACCTTTGACCCAACAACCTGATTCTCAAAGGCACCCACGCCCGAGCAGTGTTCTCTTAGAGACCTTGTTTCAGAGTGTACTTTGTGCTCTTGAGCAGGATTTTGTTCTTGGAGTGCTCTAGGATGTTTGTAAAAAAAGCCTGTAAAATCAGTGTCTTCTAAGGATGTTGATCCAAATTCCTCCTTACAAAACATGTGACTTTCCTGCTGTATGTTACGGTTGACATCTCCATTTGCATAAACTCTATGTGATTTTGCTTCAAAAATTGGGCCATCCTCAAACCATTTGTTTATATCATTTTTGTGGCTATTCATGAAATTTTCAGCCATTTGAATAGTTCGATTGGCTGCTTCATATCTCTGAGGGCGTTTGGACTGACAAGGCACCTCCACTTTGCGGATGATTTCGACTGCATCATAACTTTCGGTGTCAGGCACCATGCCATTAATGGAATTCACTCCATCTTTATGAACGTATGTTGCCCTTTTCTCTACTGTCCTCACTTCCTCTTGAGCTTGCATGGATTCTCCATAGGAACCATTGCTGACATGATTTATACTCACAGGTATTGTGATTGTAGGTGGAGAGTCTCTACTGCAACTTTCTATCTTAATTTGACGACGAAGTGATGCTGGAGACATGACAATCTCAGACCTCTTCTCTACAATGGGAACTGTAGTTACTGGTGTACGTGGGATGGACCCTCTGGATAACTTTGCAGTGGTGTCTTTGAGTTTGACGAGTTGTTCAGAGCGGCTCCTAGGTGGAGAAGGGGAGGTGTTGGCCCTGTGAATTCTAGCTGTATGTGATACTGGTCTTTCGGGTGGGTTTTCCACACAGCTATCCTTTGAAGGCAACTGAGAAAGCTCATTTTTAGGAGGCGTTTCTGTTCGTCTGGCAGAAGACTCGATTGTTATAAAAGTAGGTGATGGTGGGCGACTTTTTAAAGAGGGAGGAGAGCTCTTGCTATCACCTGCCTTAATTTTGTGATGGGCTTTTGCATAATTAGAAGCAGATGCTTCCTTGTGAGTTGCTACTTGGTGGTGCCCTATGTTTTCTTTTGCCATGTTATTTTCTTTTGGTTCATCGTTTTCCTTAGAGCTTGCATTAGTATGAGAAACTTTCAATGATGTTTCGTTAAGAGTGGTAAGCTTATTTCCCTGCCTTCCTGTTTGGGAGGCTATCGTGGCTGTTTGAATTATATTTTCACAGTACGCAAGCATATCCTCTGCTTGCGTTTTAATATGTGTTATTTCTTCTTTGACTTTTTCTAAATTACTCTCTGTGGCAACGCAAACTCCATATTCTCTTTTTTCCTCACTTATCAGCCATACAGGAATAATATTTAGCAGTGTCTGAAATGTTTTAAGGCCATTTTTATTTGACTCTGCTTCAAACTGTTTTACTCTAGACAAAATCTGTTGTAGTTCTTCACGTTTTCTCAAGAACTCCAATATATTTACAGCACATTTTCCATCATCCTGCTGAGATTCTTTCACAGAGGAAAATGGAGATTTGTTCTGTGAAATCTCATGCCTTGAATCTTTAGCATTAGAGAAGGCTTGTTTCTGCTGTATGCCTCTGTCTCTGAGATATTTCTTTTCCTGCAGACTATTATATAGCTGTGAGGATTTTTTATGTTCAACTTGACTTTCTGAAGTCTGTGTATGTGTTTGCTGGAAATTCTGAGTCTGTGAATCCAGATGTACATCAATAACCTTTGGCTTCACTACCTTTGTTGATGACCCATTTCTCAAGTATCCTTGTTTTCTTTCAACCATTAATATGTCCTCTTCAGGACTGATTACCAATGACCCTTGACTTTTTTCTTCACTTCCTAGAAGTTTCTCTCTGTCAGATTCCCTACATTCTCTTTGCTTCTCAAGAATAATCTTGAACTCGTTTTCCTGGCTCTTTGCTGCAGACTCTGTAGGCATTTGTACTGTCACTCTTTTCTCCTTCTTAGGTAATTGATAAAACTGTTCAGCCACCGATTGCTTATTATGAAATACTGCATTTGCTTCCGTTTTCTCAGTTTCTTGGTACTGTTGTTTGGTAATGGCTTGAGCATCAACCGCAGATTGTTTCACATGGCTTTCACAGCTGTGGTCTGTTTTATTTAATGTCTGATTTAGAGTTGGGAGCTTGATGGTTTTAACTTTAAAAGTTGGAGAAGCTGGTTTGCTTTGGTGCATATTCAAATGCTCCACACACTTCTGTTGTTTTTCATGTGTGCTATATTCTTGGAGACTCTGGTTAGTTTCTAAAGCTGATCTAGATTGTTTAAGACCCCTTGAACTCTGTAACACTTCCTTTTTCATGTTGTTTTTGTCTTCTGAGACTGCTAGAAGATGCTGTTGTCTATTGACAGTAACTGTCTCTGCTGATGTTGTGGAAGACTCCTTGTCAGAACACACTTGAGCATTATCATTCTGGGCAACTTGGTTGGGTTGACCCACAGTGAGCTCTGAATCCATTCTGAGTGAGGGTATTTCCTTGTATGCTGTTTCTAACAGCATTTCCTTTTCCAACTCTGATATCTTTTGACTTGAGCTTTCATTTTTGACAATGCTGTAGCAAGAACTTTCCTTTTTCTGTTTTTCAAGCTCTTCCCTTTGTTGTCTGTATTTTTCTTCAGCAATCATTAAAGGTGTCTTAAATTTTCTCATGTAAGGTTTTGGACTTTGTTGACTTGAACTTTCTGGAAATGAATGAGATTTTATGAGAGGTGCTTTCTGTTCTCCATTGAGTGCTGAAGTTTCTGTTACTGTCTGGGAGAGAGACTTAGGAGAAGCAACAGACGATTGCATTTTTTCATCAAGACTTTTTCTCGATATACCGTGCCTTGTGTCTGTGTGCTCCCTGCTAGCTGTCACCATCGTTGTTTCCTGACGTTTAAAGGGAGTAGTTTTATATTCCATGTTTGATAGGGCATTTTCCAATTCACCTTTAGGAGAAAGGTGATTCTTTTCATCTTTGATTAACTTGGAGAATTTAGGCTTGGGCAAAGTGGGAGGTGGTGTTTTACCTTTTATGACTTTAGCATGAGAATAAGTTTTCTGAGAGCTTGCAGCTTCTTTTTGGGAATATTGTTGGATGAATGCTTCACTATGTTTTTCAGGAACAGAGGAGGAAAGAAGATGTGCTGATTTGTGAGATGGAGTTGGAGGAGGTGGAGGTGGTAGAGACTCAGACAGACATTTTCTTTCAGATTTCTCATCTACTGGTGGTGGAGGAAGAGGCAAGACTGGGAAGCTTTTGAATTCAGCCCTTATCTTCTCTGTGGAAGGTGGAGGAGGAAACTCATTTTTTTCAGGCAACAGGTTTAAAGGAGGTGGAGGGGGAAGAGGAAATTCAATTTCAGATGATGCATTGGAGGGTGGAGGAGGAGGTGGGGATGGAGGTGGTAGGGAGCATTCACTTTCTCTCTCATTATGCTCAGGGTTAAAGTTGATCTGATTGAAGGACCTTTCCATTGCCATTTTTAAGTCTTTCGAAGTATTTGTCTTCATTAAAAAGTCCTGGCTTTCCAGATAAACATCAGTTTTCTGCTTTTTGTCAGTTGCTTTGAATTTATTGTGACTTTTTTCAAAGACTTTCTCCTCTGTTACATTGGATATGCTTTGATTTACAGGAAAAGAATGAGAGTTCTTCTTATCTTTCTTCATATCCTTATTAGGATACTGCATTTCTTGTTTTATCATAGTTTGCTCCTGAAAACCTTTTGTAACTTCATATGCTTCTCCAACTTGCATGGTAACTGGATGCTGGGTGGGACCAGGTGTGGGACTTCGCATCTCTGTTGATACGTTAATGTTCTTAGTCTTTTTAGGATTTTTTATGTAGAAAGACTCAGTCTTCTGGTGGTCATTTCTCACTTCACCAGTTTGAATTTGGTGCTTTCCAAGTGTTTTGTCAATAGATTGGGCAGACCTTAAGATACTTTCCTTCATCAGCTGTCTCACCGTGTCTGATTCCTTAGTTGTTATATTTTCCTTCATGGAAACCATTGAGGTTAATTGCCCAGTTGTGCGTTCATCACTAAGCTGTTGTTCTTTGGTGGTATTAGTTCCAACACCCATTCTGCCAGCTGTCTCGAACACATTTCTCATAGTTTCATGGTATGAATTAGAAAGTTTTCTAAGGTTTTTCTCAAGAGCATCATTATTTTGTTCACGATCTACAACAATCTTTACAGTGCCTTTGGGGGCTTTTGGAAGACTAAGGTCAATTCTTTCTCCCGTGGAAGTCCCATAGCAAGATTTACCTTCAGTTTGACTGAGAATGCCTTGGCCAAGTGGTCCTGGTCTTGGCTGAAGAATGCTTTCTGTGCCCGTCTGGATGGCCCCCTGATGAATCTTCATCTTCTGCTCTTCTGAAGATCCTACTGTTTCAGCATGGACATGTTTTTCAATTCTGCCTTCTTTATCTACCTCTTTGAAACTCCTTTGTGCTTCTTTCAAAGACCTTAATGATATTTCAAGGTCATCTCGAATAAGCTCCTTTTTAAGTATTTCAGTCTTTGTATTTGTAGCTTTTTCAAGGCATTCAATTGCTTTCTCAACATCACAAGGGATGGCGTCAAACTGTTTAGATTCTTGCCACCGTTGCTTTGACTCCTTGAGTGACTTGAGGGTAGCCAGCATGTCAGCTTTTATTTCTTCCGTTTTAGTCACTGTTTTCTGATTTATGTCCTGGCTGAGAGAGTTTAGGGTTGATTTCAAGTCCTCATTCATAATTTCTTCTTTGGTTGTCTTATAAGGTATACTGGGAGGCTCTGTCATAAAAACTTTAACTGTATTATGCACATCTCCCGGAATGATGTCCGCTTCATTAACTGTACGTTCAATCTGAGACTGCCTTTTCCTCAACAAGAATTTTGTCTGCTCCACATCAACACCAATTATTTCTTCTTCTCTTTCTTGCTTCCTAGCTGCTAGTGTTTCATCTGGTCCTGTCTGAAGTTGTTTGAGGTAATCTAAAGCTCCAGTTTCTATGCATGTTGTGAAAAACTGAACGTTTCCTCTCTCTGAGGCATCAATTTTAGCCCTCTCACAGACTGCACTGTTTGATGTGGAAGACAACAGATTATGAATGGTATGTCGTACATCACCTCCTATTACTTCTTCACGCTTAATTTTATCACCAGTGTTTTCATGAAGAAGACAGTAGATGGTCATGTTAATGTCTCCTCTTTCATCTTCTTGGATTAAAATGCCTTTCTTTGCAGATCTCTCCTCTGCGAACAGTTTTTTTATTGCCTCTTGCACATCACCTTTCACTATCTCTTCTTTTTCAGCATGAAATTCAGTTGATCTGTTCAACAATTGAGTTTTAGTCAGGTTAACATTTCCCTTCTCCTCTTCACTAACCATGATCTCTTTTTTGGTGCAGTCTTTTTTGGAAAGTAAGTTCATCATTATATTTCCAAGATTGGCCCTAATAACTTCTTCTTTCTGTATCTCAGGAGATTCTTGGTTCATTAGCTTATATTTAGCCATTCGGACATCCCCAACTTCATCAGTTTCAATGATAATTCCAGGAGCTTCAATAACTTTTTGAGAGTAAAGCTCTTTCAATGTTTCTTTAATGCTCTTGCCAATAATTTCTACCTTTTCAACTCTATTTTCATTGAATTCATGAATTGGTGTTGTTTCAAAGAGCCATGTGGTAGTCTTGACATCGGAAGCTGGGATCTCCTCCTTGGCCACTTTTGTGATGCTTTCTTCCGCATCTTTAATTGAATCCAAAGTTCGGTTTTCAAATAGCCATACTGCCTGCTTAACATCCCCCTTTTGCACATCTTCCTGGGTAACTGTCTTGATATTTTTATATTCTGACCCTTCTCCTCTCAGCTGTTCTACAGTGTGAGTTTCAAATAGCCACATAGATGTTCTAACATTGCCTTTTTGAATTTCATTGATACTTACAGTTCTTACATAATTGTTCTTCCCAAAATTTTCAGCCTCAAAGAATTGTTTGTTTGTCTTCACTTTTCCACCCTGAATGTGGTCAATAGTGGGCACAATTGTATGGGATTCTTCTGAGATTTGATCTAGTGGCTGTGTTTCAAATCTGTATCTGACAGAACTAACATCCCCTTTCTGAATGTCTTCTTGTGTAACAGATTTAATAACATACACGGTTTGTGATTCATTAATTGAATCTAATGGTTTTGTCTCAAAAAGCCATCTTGTTCCTCGCACATCTCCATGAATCACATCTTCTTTTTTAACGGTTGTTACTTCGTGAAAGCACCCTTCTTGATCTTGAATTGCATAGAGTGGCTGGGTTTCGAAGAGCATTGTGTAGCTTTTGACATCACCCTTCACTACTTCTTCAGCATGTGTTTTCTTGGTGCTGATACAGTCGCACTCGTCTTTAATCTTATCTAAAGAAAAAGTCTCAAAGATGAAGCACCCTTTTCTGACATCTCCACCTTCTATGTCTGTCACTGTCTTTACTAATCGCTCACTTTCTTGGCTTTCTTTTATCATGTCAATGGGATGGTTTTCAAAGAGCCACCTACACTTTAAGACATTGCCTTTCTGAATGTCTTCAGCTTGTAGTGTCTTCATCTTTTTCAACACTTCCTCTGAACTGGAACTTATAGAGTCTAAGGATTGATTTTCAAATTTATACCTCATGCTGGAGACATCCCCAGCTTGGATATCCACCTCCACAGCCTTGGTTTCCTTTCCTTCCTCTCCTTGTATGCTGTCTAAATTTTCTGTCTCAAAAAGAAGACACGCTGTACGAACATCTCCACCTTGGATTTCCTCTTGCTTTGCAGTTTGCAAGGAGACTGTTGTTTCAGAGCCATCTCTTATGGTGTCAAGAGGCTGCGTCTCAAAGAGCCACGTACACATTTTGACATCTCCCTTATGAATTTCTTCACTTGTAGTCATTAACGGAACTTTTTCATAAAGAGACTCCATTGGCTGGGTTTCAAACAGCCATTTACAGGTTTTGACATCCCCTTTAACAATATCTGTCACTTGTTCTGCTTTATTTTCTGTTTCTTCCACATTACTAAAATATTTAATTGAATGAAGAGGTTGAGTTTCAAACAACCATTTAGCAGATTTCACATTTCCACTCTGTATTTCTTGAGCAGATATTCCTCTAATTATCTGAAATTTAAGAAGACTTTCATCAAACTGGTCAATGGGCCTTGTTTCAAAAAGCCATCTGCAGCTCCTCACATCACCTCTTAAGATTTCTTCTTGCTGGACTGTCTTTACTTGATGGTATTTTCCAAGGTGATCTTGAATGGCATACAGTGGCATAGTCTCAAAGAGAGATTTATTTAACTCCACAGCACCTCTTGTGACTCCTTCCACTTCTATTTTATGTGATGCATCAAATTTAATTAAATTGTTTGATTCAAAGATGCGTGTGTAATTTCTGACATCTCCCCTATCCACCTCTTCTAGCTTCACAGTTCGTGTGTATTCCTTTTTATCTTCTCTAATCTCTTCCAGTGGTTGAGTTTCAAAAATCCATTTTTGGTGCCTGACATCACCTTTCTCTTCTTCAGAGGTGGTGATTTTCTGAAGCTTTCCTACATCAGGACTATCTTTTAAGGCCTCTATTGGAAGAGTTTCAAATAGATGCTTGGTGGTTTGTACATCACCCCCTATTATCTCTTCAGCTAATACAGGATTTGCATCAGAAGTTTCTTTTAGAACATCTAATGGCTGTGTTTCAAACATCCAACACTTTTTGGAGACATCTGTGCCTATTATTGTTTCTTTTTCTATGATGACCTCTTCCAAGTCTTCTTTGATTTTTTCCAAAGGTTGAGTTTCAAATAACCACTTTGCTCTACTCACCCCACCTTTGACATTTTCTTCCATGGATATTCCTCGGACAATTTTAATTTCTGTGATATCCTTATTGATTGTGTCTAAAGGCTGTGTTTCAAACAGCCAACGTGCTGTTCTTACATCCCCTTTTTCAATATCTTCTCTATGAACAGTTTTGATTTCTAGCATTTGACCTAAACCATCTCTAATAACATACAAAGGTTGGGTTTCAAAACATTTTATACTTCTCTTAACATTTCCTTTAATTTCTTTAAGTTCAGACCTGAGCTGAAGTAAGTTCACTTCATCTACTGAATGAAGTTGTCCAAGTTGATCCAGATGTTGAGTCTCAAACATATATCTCACAGTTTTGACATCTCCCCCAGTTATGTCCCTAGTAGCAGTTAATGCTGATTCTTCTTCATTTTGGTACATTTTATTCATAGAGTCTAATGACTTTGTTTCAAACATCCAGCGGGCTGTGGAAACATCTCCTCTGGCCAGGTCAGGAATTTTGTCAGCGTTTACTCTACCTTCAGAAGAATGAACCCCCAGGGCATCCATGGGTTGAGTTTCAAACATCCATGTTGTGTACTTTACGTCACCTCCAGCAATGATTTCTTGATCAGCAATGCCCTTGGCATTGTGACTGTCCTCTGGAGAGCCACTGTTGATGGAATCTAATGGCTGATTCTCGAAAATCCACCTCATAGACTGCACTTCCCCTTTCAGAATTTCATCCCATTCCAAGTATTCTCTTTCAGAGTTCAGTTCTTTTTGAGAGTTATCATTTGCATTCTCAAAAACATATCGGGCATGTTGCACGTCTGCTGAAACTGAGCTTCCTGTGTCCTTTTGACTGGAAACAATCTCAGAAACCTCACTGATATAATCTTTCTCTAAATTTTTTCTTAACTCAGGATGGATGTGTTTATATAAACGGTTTAATTCATACAAGTTTCTTTGCTTGGAATAGACATCTTTGGGGACTGGTAGTCGTCTAGCAGGGCTGGGGAGTTCAGGGGACTGGGAAGATGCTGTCACATCTATTGGAACTTGAAGCACATCAGGTGGGGGAGGAGGAAATTCTTCTGTCTCTCCTGGAGCAGTGGCACTAACTTGTGCCAGAGCTGAGTAAGTAGCATTTCGATCACTACAGCTTGAGGTTGATGTCTCCTTTCTCTTGCTGGTTGAAGTGTAAGAAGAGGAAGAGGTACCCACAACTGATGTTGGCTTTATAATTTCTTCATATTCACTTTCAATCTTTAGGGGAGAAAAAAAGCTTATGAAGATTAATGTAATGGTGAAGGCTTCCAAAGAACTGCCTTTTACCTGTCCATAACCAGGATTCTGCTGCAACATGATGGGAAAAACAGGTGAAATACCCTATTTAAAGACTTAAATAGTAGTATTTAATGTTTCTTACTATCACCCCCATGTTCTATTTTTCCTATAAGCAAGTCATTCAATGACTATAAGCAAGTCATTCAGTGTATCTGTGACTTTTAACTTTAATATTTATAAATATGCTTACTCTCCCGCTTTTACTTAATGTGCCCTGCTGAGCAATCTAAACGGAAATAGTGAAAGTTTTGAAGTACTTTTGAAGGTTGTTTTGTTTTCCTGGGAGTTTTAAACAGAACAAAGTGAGCATTTTAATTTGACTTTGTTACTTTACCGATTGTAAATTATATACCCTAGAGCGTGCACACTTTTTTCCTCCCTCATTTACTCTAGTTTGAAAAGTTTTTATATTAATTCTTTTCTCAAGTAGGTCAAAATTGTTCTTCTAAAACAGAAAACAAGCTAGTTTAGGATTTTTAAAAATTTCTGTTGTTGCTAGAGAAACATGTAAGATGTGTAGTGAGACCCGGTAGACTCTGTAATA